GTTGCTGCTGCTGCGACGAGACGCGTCACACATCGACTACTCGCCATCGCGAGACGGACAACGTACCACCACCACCACCACTGGCGACCGATCTTGTCAAAGTATTGCGCCGGCGCGGCGTTAGCCTCATTCCGCGCGCCGCCGCAGGCGACAGGTCGCAGAGAAGCGCCGAGACAGAGCTGAAGAAAACGCCGCGTCGTCGCAATATACTAATACCACAGCGACGACTGGTCAACCGAGTGAAACGGTCCACCGCAACTGTAAACCTCCCGCGCGTCACGCGATCCGTCAGTCGCGCGTTGCAGCGAGACAGCATTCGCGTCGACTTCGCGACACCAACTTCGAATGTGCTGTCATCGACCGCCACCTTGATGAATGCGTCGCCGCCGACGGAACTCTTAGTGCCTCTCGATTCGAAGAGGCACTGCAGCTCGAGGAGGAAGCGCGACGCGACCTCCCGCACAGCACCTTTCATTGCAAATATATATTAAATACATATTTACATTGCGTTTCATTTCATATCAAATATAATGTATTAAATATGTAATTAATGCAATGGATATGAAATATCCAAATCAAAATACGTATGTAACACATAGCAGACATATTGCGAATATTATATAAATGTATAAATGTGCAAATGTATCAAACACATAGTTAATACATATTTAATAATATATAATAAGATGGAGTACCGCACTAGCGCCAGTATAACTTAAAGAAATCATAAATAGACAGTTTTCTGTATTTGCGGTTATTATCTGAAGGACATGAAACGTCATACTAACATCTTTACAACAAATGTCTTATTCCTTTACAACGTTTCAGAGGAACGATTCATTTGCGTTTTTGTAACATAATAGGAATGGTCACATTCAGTAAAGAAAAGAAATCTTAGTGAGCTCTCAATAATTCTTTAGTTAGAAAAGTTTACAAAAAGCTAATGAAAAATAATTTAAAGTAATAAATATTATAGTGAGTCAAAGGTAAGTATATATTATTTTATTAAATTTCTATATATATAGGTTGTTATATAATAATATGTAATTGATGTATGTACAATTAATTTGTATTTGATTATTTTATAGGTTATATAACAATAAATAAGTTTTATATAATAATAAACATGGATAAAAAAGATAACCGTCAATATATTTCTTCGAGGCATAAGAGACGATTAGCACAAGAAGAAACAGAAAAATATTTGTTGATAGCATCAACATCAAGCAGTAGTGCATCTTATTTTGAACCATTGGCCAAATCTGTAAAAAAATGCCGAATTGAAAATGATCCATCAATTTCATCTTCTTCTAGTGACCAGGAGCACATTAATCAATATTCACCAAACAGTGACAACAATGATAAAGAATTATTGTCAGATGGAATACATAACTCATCAGAAGTGGTCACAGACGATGAAAATTTTGTTGATTCCGAAGAACAAGAAGAAATGCAACCGTTATTGTTTGACTCTGATGATTCGAGTGACGATGCAAACATGGATATTGAATATATTGACGATGAAGATGAAAGTATGGATAACGAATTGTTACGCGATCTTCGAAATTGGTGTTTTGAATTTAAAATCAAGCATAATGCAATTAATGCTCTTATGGAAATTCTGAGACATGCTCCACATTCACAATTCAAAACTTTGCCGAAAGACGCAAGAACGCTTCTAAAAACACCTAAGAAAACTGCTGAAATAGTTGCATTATCTGGAGGATCGTATTACCACTTTGGTTTATCGAGCACTTTGGAAGTACTTCTGTTGCATTACAAAAGTATGTCTTTGAAGGTATCTGAAATTAATTTATTAATTAACATAGACGGTCTGCCATTATCCAGATCATCGCCAAGCAGTTTCTGGCCAATATTACTTTCAGACGATATTTCAAATCAAGTGCATATAGTCGGACTGTTTTATGGTCAAAAGAAACCAAATAATTCCAATGAATTTTTACAACAATTTGTGACAGAATTAATACCATTAGTACAGAACGGATATCATTCAGATCTCTTTAACTGTGATATTAAAATTAATGTTAAGGCCATTATTTGTGATGCTCCAGCAAAATCTTTTATTTTAAATATTAAAGGACATAATGGCTACTCAAGTTGTACTAAATGTACTATTTACGGAGATTATGTTAACTCCAAAATGTGCTTTCCTTATAAAGAAAGATCAACTGATGCACTTAGAACTAATGAAGATTTTGTACGTCAAACAGACTCTGATTATCATCAAGGAGAACCCACAATTTTACTCTCTGTGCCTAATTTAGGATTAGTGTCAAATATTGCTCTTGATTATATGCACTTAATTTGTTTGGGTGTTGTAAAAAAAATGATATTGTTGTGGATGAGTGGACCACTAACTGTTCGCATCACAAGCAAAAGACAATATTTCACAAAGACTAATTAATTTGAAAAGTACAGTGCCTAAAGAATTTTCAAGGCGACCTCGAAGTTTAAGTGAAGTAGCATACTGGAAAGCCACAGAATTTCGGCAATTTTTACTTTACACTGGACCTATTGTTTTAAAAACTGTTTTAAATACAGACGTATATACACACTTTTTGACTTTGCATGTAGCTGTATCAATACTCATCAGTCCAACGCTAATAGTAAATAAAAACAATATAGATTATGCAGAAAAACTGTTGCAACATTTTGTTCAATCATTTGAGAAAATTTATGGTAAAGAATATATATCTCATAATGTACATAATTTATTACACATCTCAAATGAAGTTCGAAAATTTGGGCCACTTGATTCTTTTAGTTCATTTAGATTCGAAAATTTTTTACAAATTTTAAAAAATTTTCTGCGCAAAACAGAAAAACCATTGCAGCAAGTTATACGACGATACACAGAAAGAAGGCTAAATCAATATGAGAGCATGAATAAATCATTACATTCACCTCATAAATTTGAATTAAAAACAAGACATGTTACTGGTTTTTTGACCGATGAAATTCAAGATATTGTAGAATCGCAATACAGGAAACTAATATTATTAGGAAATTATGAAATTGATTGCAATAGCGAAGCAAATAATTGTATTATGACAAAAAGTGGAATCTTACTGATAGTTAAAAATGTCGTTAAATGTACCAATAATACAACATATGTTGTTGGTTATCAATTGAGGAAAACAGATGATATTTTATATTCACGACCATTCTCATCAGACAATTTGGACATATATGTTGTTGAGGAAATAAATTGTAACGTAATATCTTGTCCTTTGGATGAAATACAAGGGAAAATGTGGAAAATTAAATTTAATTCAAAATTGTATGTCATTCCTATTAGACACGTTTGTGGACAATAAAACAATTTTTGAAGCACAATATAATACAATATAACAACACATGATTATAATACGATAATTCTAAATATAAGCAACAAAACAATTTAAGTTAATATTTTTAAATTAATTTTAATAAGTAAATATTTACTTTTATGTTTGCAATAAAACTGTCATCATGAATTCAAACTTACATATGCGCAATTGTATACACAAAATCGATTGGTACTGCACGCTGTATGATTCATAATAAAAGAAATTATATATTTTTTATTTTATTTTTCCATCATGGCATGGTTGACAAATTTCTGACAATAAATCGATATTTCGAATGGCTATCAATTTACGATCAACTTTGCCGCTTTTATCTTATTAACGATCAAATTTACGTCTGGTTGCTGGTCTATATTAGTGTGTATCGTGGCCATTTCGATCACCTAATTTTGTTTTTAACCATTTGACTCTTTGCCACGCCTCTGTGACTATGGTCTTATTTATATTTGGTTGTCTAAGTCTTGCTAAGTTTTCTTGTCTACTTAATTCTTCTACTTTTTCTATCAGGTCACGTTCACCGTATGTTAATACTTTGCTCAAAAAATTCCTAGCCAGTAATAAAAAATAAAACTACTAGTCAGTAATAGTAATAAAAAATCAAAAGGCGTGGAAGTTAATACAGCCTTAATGTTGTACAAGAGTTTAATTAGATCAATCACGGAATATACGGTAACTTTGTTTATTACCCAAATGAAAATTTACAAAGATTAAAATATGAAAGCGCAATATTTAGAAATAAGAACAGCGTTAGGATATAGAAATAGTACACCAAATAACCTAATTGTAGCAGAAGCAAAAGTAACCCTGCCTTATCACGTAGCAGTCTTACTTTTGCTTCTGCTACAATTAGGTTATTTGGTGTACTATTTCTATATCCTAACGCTGTTCTTATTCCTAAATATTGCGCTTTCATATTTTAATCTTTGTAAATTTTCCTTTGGGTAATAAACAAAGTTACCATATTCCGTGATTGATCTAATTAAACTCTTGTTCAACATTAAGGCTGTATTAACTTCCATGCCTTTTGAT